GCTATAAAAACCTTGAGGCGATCCTTGAAGATGTTCTACCAATTCCCGACGCAACTAAAAAGATGGCTTCGACCTTTGGCTCTTACTACATTGAAGACTCTCAACCGGTCAACAAACCACCTTATTTAAATGGAGTAAATTATTCATATTGGAAGAATATGATGATGCTCTTTATTCAAGCCAACGATCTAGGAGCTTGGAACTCAATTATGAAAGGATACTCCATTCCAACCAATGAGATGGATGATTGCAGTGATGGAGAAAAGAAGAAGTTCCAATTCAATGCAAAGGCTATGCACATTCTATTTTGTGCATTAGGCCCGGATGAATATGGAAGAGTCTCCTCTTGTTCTAATGCCAATGAGATAGGGACAAGCTCTAATTTACTCATGAAGGAACCAATGAATTGAGGGAAACCAAAATTAGTCTTCTCAATCATAGCTATGATAATTTCAAGATAAACCCGAATAAAGACATCAAAACTATGACAAGTAGATTTTCCATGATTGTCAACGGTCTCAAGGGATTCAGAGAAGTTATCCCTAATGAGAAACTTGTGAGGAAGATGATTTATTCTCTTCCAAAGTCTTGAAAATTGAAGAAGACGTCGATCATCGCTCTTGATGAGCTCTTCTCACTCATGAGTTAATGGTAAATAAAGAAGATTTTAAGAAAGATTTTTGAAAAAAAAATTAAATATATCCTCAAGAGAGGAAAAATGATTTTAAGAAAGATAAGTTTCTTTAAATATTTCCATGATAGATGGGAAAATGATCTTGAGAAACATAAGATTTTTTTGAGCATTTTAATGAAACCTCAAGAGATGAAAATGGTCTTAAGGAAGACATTTTTTTAATGAAATCCTCAAGAGAGGAAAATCATAGTTTTTGCATGAAAATGCATGTAATTATAAATGTTTTTTTTCAAATATGCATGTGTAACTAAAAATTGTCAATGATGCAAGTGCATGCTTTCATGAATGATAATGGCACAAAGATGCTCGGGAAATATTTATTCTTAAATTCTTAAATTTTCCTCATTCTTTTCTCACTGGGGTATTCGTAATTCTTGACTCACAAAATTTATTTCTTCATGCCCCAACAAATTTTACCCATAAAGTTTCTTTTTCATTGCCCCAACATAAATTATGAGCTTCTATGTCTAAGAGACCTTTGTCGTTCCCAGAGATACTATCTTGTTTGAAAATGTTTTTCTTCATCTTTTATTTTTCAAAAATGTGAAAGGTTTCTTAAAGAAACAAAATACTTCCCTCTTTAGGCTCACAATTGAAGCAAATTGTAAAACATAAGTTTATAAAATATCAAAAGAATCAAATGCTTTTTCAATATTTTAAAGTTATAATTCTTTTACAAGTGTCAAGACTAATGGTAAGGATTAATTTGAGAAGTGTTTAGGTTGGTTTCTTTTTCAAGGTGTTCATTGGTTTGATTATCATGTACACCATTTCAATGCATTCATGCATACCTTTAGGATGACCCTTGACCTTCAACGAGTTAGTCCAAAGTACTAGTGATTGCTTATAATGCCCATGTGAGCACATTTTGTACTATAATGCTAGACCTTTTAGAGAGTGTTCATATTTCAGTTCTCTGAAATATTCTATTTGTTCAGATTGTGTAGACTCTTTTAGCAGAGGCAATGCAAAATTATCGATCTAAAAATATAATTATATAGTGCTTGTGGTGTAGTGGACTATAACAGATGTTTCTTAGCTCCCTTAATCTATCTTTCATCGAAACTCATTATTGTTTCATTAGTTTCAAAATTAACCTTGGTGTTTTCATCTTTGCTTTGATTTTGCTAGAAGATTCATCTCAACACAAAGTCATTAGTGTCATGATTTGAATGTAATCATATTTATAAAGTTAGGGCTCTCGACATGGTCCATTACTTTAGCGGAATACCACTAATTAGAGGATTTAAATGTCAGAAAGTCTTCGACTTAACAACTTGAACGGAACAAACTTTATAAAGTTTGGACTTACCTCTATAATTGCTTCAGACATTACCTCCGAAGATTATCAACTTACTACTTTTAGCGGAGTGCCCCCAACAATATTAAAATTAGCTTTCCCGGAGTTTTTTATTTTAAGATTTCTTAAGCTCATCAAGGAGAACCTGTTATAGTCTGAGTGTCGTTGAGATTAGGAAATTTTATCTTTAGAGTTCAATTTCCAAGTAGCTGGCCTAAGCTAAATTCATCTATTCCACCATTCCATCTGCGTAGGTTAAGAATCATCATTGAACATTACAAAATAAAACTACATTCTAAATGGTCTAGCAATGCCGTGTACAACGAATGTCCCATCTTACCTGTTTAAGAGAAGACTTGTACTTTACTTGTAACTTGTATCGGAAGAATACTTGAGAAGGCTAAGGTGTGACTCTGGAGTCATCTTTTGAGGAAGTGTAATCAAGTGATTTTGTTTTTGGCATGAAATCAAGAGGTTTTTCTTGGGTGAAAGATCAAAGGTATCTTTTATTATGAATGGTGTAATCTTATTACTTGTCAAAGTTCTATAACCCAAATTCTTAAAACAACCTTTAATTCGGTTGATATTTAAAGAACTTAAAAATTAAAATTTTGCTCATTGCTTGTAACCTCAAAAGGTAGCATTTTATTATATATGTTTGCAACATGAAATCATTTCTAAACATTTAAGAAAATGTGAAAGGAAAAATGAGAAATATGTTCAAACAAGATGTCATTTTTTCATGCAAGGGCAAAACGACTCTGTGGTGGATGAATATCGACTTATCTTAGATCCGCCTCATCAACCATGCATCGACTAAATTATAGACCTTTCAATTTAATACCTCACAATTCTTGGTGACATCAAAATCTTCGAGATAAGGAAGATGATGAGTTGTGTGATTAGAATCACTAGACAAAATTCTTTCATTGATTATTTCGATTTTTTTATGATTAATGTATGCAAAGATGCTTAAATGTCATACGAAATGCAAAGATATGAATGCAAAATGAAAATATGCAAGTGCTATGTAAATGCATAATGCAAATATACAAATGCAAAAGATGTTAACCCGAAAAAGTGACCACCATAGAACAACTTCCATTAAAATACAAAAGCTTCATTAACAGTCAATTTTTTCATCTCATCATACTAGCTTCTTCCTTTGGTTTGATGCTAAACATAGAACCAATGTTTCTTTAATCCTCTTGTATTGGATGATGTGACTCACCTTCTTCTCAAATCATCCACTACAATTGTCAAAATCTTGAGATCTCCACTTCTTTGAGGTTTTCAGGGGGAATGGTCTTTATGTATTTGTGAAGAGTATTCTCGAATTAATATCTTTCATTAGTTGCATTTATTCGTGGATCCTTGAAGTATCATTGAATATCTTAAATTTGACTATCTGATTGAGAAACCCTTATTTTATTATGAAAACTTTCTAATTTGGTCAATCACTAGCGAGTTAACACCTTTGTATCATGCGATGAAAATGCAAAATGCAAGTAAGAAAAAAGAAAACAAAATAATACAAAAAATTTAGTACTAATAAAAAAATAGTAATAACTATTATAAAAATAAATCCTACTCAACATGTTGTTTACCCGACATGATTTATAAAAGTAGATCTTACCCACACATGATTTCTATCTCAATGCTTTATTTACAAAAATAAACCCTAACCACATGATGTCTGGTTCACATATTTTTTCTTGTAAAAATAAAGCTAATAAGTTAGGGTTAAACTCGATTTCTCCTTTATGTACACCTATTCGAAAACTCCCTATGGTTTCGACATGATTTTAAACCGGGTAAATTTCTATGATTCATTACATGCATTGCTTTGGCTCTAAGGTCAAAGGTACTCGAATTATCTTTGATGATGTCCCCTTGGGCTTTCCAAACCCTCGATCCTAAACTCTTCACAGATTTATATGGATCAAGTTAAATTTGAGGGGATGCACCTCCTTATGTCTGAGACGGAGAAACATACCTCACGAAGGCATAAAGTGTGGACTCCAGAGGTTACTTGATAGGCCTGACACGAGGAAACATTTCCTACGAAGGTGTCACTTCCATCCCACTTAAAAGGGATAACCCGAGTATAGGGTTTATGTCATGCAAACCCAATGAGTGTGTGAGTAGAAATCTACCAACCTTTACCGAACACTAACATACAATTTTTGAACAAAAATCAATCTACACAACATAATAATCTGAAAGTTCATGAATACACACATCAGTACGAATAATCACAAGTATACACATGTCATTAGGGTTTAAAGATGAATGCAAACAAACGAACACAACAAAGGGATCAAAAATTAAATTAACTTAAATTCATAATTTCTATTGAAAAACATAATTAATCGACTAATGATCTGACTCTTTTGAAGTCCCTAACATGATCGTCAAGCTGTCATGCAATAAATGACCAAAATCTTTAGCTTACTGGAATGGTTGTATGTCAAATTATCAATGGTGAAAGCAAGGAGTCATATCGTCGAGCAATGCTTGCAACTCTCCGGGACGAGTCGGGGGTTGTATGTCAAATTATCAATGGTGAAAGCAAGGAGCCTTATCATCGATCAATGCTTGCAACTCTCCGGGATGAGTCGGGTGATTAATGAATTACTTAAGAGCAATCAGTTGGTTCTCGTGGTACGGAAACTCTGTAATTCAAAACAGCTCTGAAAGAGTAGGAAACTTGAACAAGTTTCACTTTATGGAAGGCACATTCTGAAATTGTTCAAGTCTTTGCAATAAACAAGCTTCACATCAATTATTTTTCGTGCTGTAATCTTTTTGTGTTTTTGTTATCAAACGCCTTGAATTTTTCATATATAATATAGTTTTAATGAATAATATTTGATAATATACATGGGCCTTGTTAACGTATCATTTATATTGTGAATAGTTTACAAAATATTCACTTGTACAACAATCAATTTAATAACATTGACAAGTAAATTCCTTCAAAAATAACCTCAATTATCCAGAAACTAAGTACTCAAACCAATAAGAGCAATCAATTGAGAAAAGAATACATATATATTTTTTCCTGGGAAAAATATAATTTCACGGTATATGAGGTAAATTTCTTGTTTTACACTCACCTATTGCTCTCATGTATTTTCTGTCTCCATTCACCGGAGTTGCCGTGCATACTATAAACCCCCCCCCCCCACCCCAGCGGCACCTCGTGTCACTAAGAATCGGAACATCCTTCGCTCAAATTTTTTCGTAGAATAAAATGTATGCCTCACAGCGAAGAACTTCTTCGATTGATGCTTGGCGAACATGTCGGTCACTCGCGTAATACCATTGAGAACAGACAGGCTCGATATCGGTCCCTTTCCTTTTCTCTCCCCCTCTCACATATGCAATGTAGTGACCCCCTCTCATTGTTCCCGAATGCTCCACGACCCCGACCAGACTGTAAATGCAATCATCTGCATCTTTGCACCTGCACATTTTAAACACGATGTTATTCTCTTGTTCTTGATAAAGTGTATCGTTCACATAACCTCGAATTTAACTGACAATGTGTTCAGATCATTTCACAATCTGCTGTCAAAACTGAAATAAACTACAGCCAAAATAATCATTTCAAAGATCATCATTAGGGTTCAACGATTTCATGGCATTTGAAAGACAGTGGGATGTGCTTTACCCCAATAATACACCATTTCTTTCCCTTAAACCACTTTGCAGGAGATCTAGCTGACTTATGGAATTATGTTAAGACTCTTCAGTTTTCCCTAGACTATTCATGTACGATACCCATGTCCAATGATGATCCTCCAAATATATGGAAATATTATTAAAAAAAACGTTTAGAGTATTCATATTTGACAGATAAGGGTATTTGACACTGACCCCTTGAGTCTGCATACATAGAATTAAACTGGATGCATATAGGATGTAAAATCTTGAACAAAACTTGGATGCATATATGCAAAATCAAGTGAAATGTACAAGGATATCGAGTAAAATCTCCAACAAAACTTGGTATATCATGCACGTTGAAAATGATCCCTAGCTCAATAAAGACATCATGCCTTCCACATTGTTTGATTTATTGCTCTAAAAACAAGCTAATTTCAAAAGGATGCTTTTGCAAGCACCCGAATAAGCCTATCCATATCTTCAAAGTTGAACTTTGCGTAATTAACTTAAATTCTGAATGGTGATTCTCTAAAGTAAAAAGTATTCGGAAAAAGAGCAGAAAGGTTGCTTGAAATTTGCAAACTCTTTCATGGAAAGAAAAACGATGATAGGATATCATGTAGTAATGTTGAATTTTACTTTTCTATTCTGACTCGAGGCTAAGAGTGTAATATGCTTATAAATCCGGTACGGAGATCCTCAATTTGTTTAAATCATATATTAGAAGAATCATATCCTCATAAGTCATATCTCTGTCTAAAAAGAAGACACAGCGTATTCGCATGTGAAAATGCTATCATGAAAACAATCGAATCAACAAAAAGAAGGATGACTAAGAGATTCATTCCTAGAAATAGCTATAAAGAGGAGGGGGGTTGAGTCTGTACGTTTGTGTCTATATATGTCTTTGCGTGTGTAGGGAGAGAAAAGCAAGCATTCTGCACATGTTTCCCCAAAGAATTTAAAAATGGAAGACTTCCTGAAAAATCACCCTACTTGGTATAGGTCCCCTGATTTCTTTCTTTTAGAACTTCATCTAAAAACAAATGCTCTCAATGTTTTAAAAGAGTTTAGATCATCTCAGTCCTAAGAGACACAATTAGAAGCTAAATCATTATGTCTTGCATCCACGATACAGGTGAAAGCGCAATTATTACAAATAATGTTCAATGGTAAAAGTATAAAGCTTTAATGAAAAAAAAAATCCCATTCAGGAATTGATGCCAAAATAGGATATTACATTCTTTATCCTTCTCTCGGTCAAACTATCCTATTGTTTTACCAGAACTCACTCTTTTAACCAACTTCTGGTCTGATTCCTAAGATATTGTTAAAATTGTGTTCCATAGAGAGCTTACATTGTATTATAATTCCTGTAAAAGTGTTCTCAGCATCTTAAACATGAGAATAAGTTGCACCATTTCTATACAGGGCTACTATACGTAATTTCCAGAAAACCATATTAACAAACAGGAAACACATTGATCGAGTGGTGGTTTAGTGTAACCCGCATATCTAAACAGAATGAAGCAACGAAAAACAAAAAGAATAAAAGAGATAATTAAAAAATTAGAATAAGGCTAAGCTAGACATATTGTGAAAGGTACCTGGGATCAACATATGGTCTAAGATCGATTGTTTCTCTGAAATTGACATGACCATTTAATTTACTTAAGCGGCCACGAACGTCTTGACAAAACCTCTTCAAGTGAATAGTCAGAATAGGTGGTGCCTTATTTATGAGTACCCTCTTCGTAGCATTTCTCTTAACCTTCACATTTTTGTAGTATATCTCTTCTTCATCACTTTCCCCAGATTGATAGTTTTCGGTCATATATGAATTTCTCTGCTGGAAGTTCGCATTACCTCTACAATTTTCAACATTGCAATGTTCAATAGGTCGCATACCCCCAGATTGTTCTTGAGCATTAGATTTTGAGCAGACTGAAGAGTTTGATTTCAACATATTAGCATCTTCTAATACAAGTGAATTTAGCTCGCTTGTTTGACTATTTTCAAGGTTTATACCATTTTGACTCTTATCATGTAAAACCAAACTATCACCAGAACTATTGATATTGCCATTACTAATGGTTCTAACTTCATTAAGATATTGGAGTTCCTTATCTAAACTCGATGGTGCATATTGGCCTTGGGTCTTGCTTCCATTGATTAAATCCTTTCCCGCCTTGGTCCGCTTCTTCTTTTCTTTCAACTTCTGATGTTGCAGAATTTTCGCACAATTCTCACAATTCCAAGCATTATCATCCAAAAGAAGCTCCGGCTTAATGAAGTGAGACAAACAACTTTCTACCGATACTGGAGAATCACTATCATCAACCTCATCGGGATCAGAATCACTGATATTCCCAGCCAGAAAACCAGTTTCAGCAACTTCATTTGCCAAAGTTGGTCCAATGATAGGCCCTTCAGAAATTTCAGGCTCATTAAACATGTCACCAAAGCCATCAAACTCCACTTCTTGTCCAAATCCTGTATTTGATGAAGAGGCCTCATTTTCTCTCACACTCTCAGTTCCATGATTATCCTCTTTATACGGAAGCAAAAGAACCACAGAATCTTGAACCAGCAATGGAAGCTCCTCTTCTTGAAGGTTACCGGAAGAATCATCTGGTTTTTGATTGGTTTCCCTTTCAACTATAGAAACCTCACCACTTTCTGCTAAAGCTTCATTTGGAACTAGATCCTTACCATCCGAATCTTGAAGAAGGGAGGAGATATTGTTATTTTGTGAAATCAAGTCGCTCTCATCCGCTACTGTTTCTTGTTGAAGGTAATCCATCCAAGTAAAATCATCCACACCGACATCATTTTCCGGTGGTGTATCCTCCGTTAAGAGGTAATCTAACCAAGAAAAATCAGCTGTCCCACCTGAATTTTCCTTCAATGTACTCTCCAAAACTTGTTCATCCTGAGACTCCACAACATCAGGATTCTGTGAAGAACTGATTTCATCGGCCTTGGTGCTAGGGCCTAAAACATGTGAGAGTGAAGAATCACCAGAAGATGCCACTACAGATTCTGTTTTAGGCACAGCTATAAGTCCCGGACCTGGAGATTCATTGTTTGGCACTGGGGTCGTAACACATTGAGATGGCATTTGATCTGCATCTTTGTTAACTTTCCCTCGAGTCCTACCAGCTTTTTTCGGTGGCAGCTTTGTTTTCTTTGCTCGTGTGACTGGTTGAGCCTTTTTAGAAAGGCTTTTCTTAGTTGGAACTGAAAGTGAGAGATCCAAAAATGGTTCAAACACTGTCGACGAGTGCCCACATTCCTCACAACAGAGAGTACTCGAAATTTGACCACCAAATACAGCATCCACAAAAGTAAGATCCTGACTTGCCGTAACTAAACATTTAGAAGCATTAGTGTGTTTTCTGAATGACAACTCCTCTGTATAAAGCCCATCAAGCAAACAACGAAGCAATTCATGACTGTCATGTTGCTGATAGCCCCTAAACTGGGGGGCCTTAGCACAAAGGGAAGCAAAAAACGGCTTCGGATTGATAGCATTTTTGAAACCCATCTCCGGTTTTATTTCAGCAAAAAGTTCTTTCAGAGAAATTGTTAGCTGCCCCATCGACACATCCAGATTCAAGAAGTACTCCCTTAGCCTATTCAGAGCCAGAAGATTTTGCATTACTGAATTAAAGAAGCATGTATTACCGAGATTAACCAAACCTCGAACCACATAGCTCCTTTTACTATCCAAAGAATTCGATATAGTTCCTTCTGATTTGATTTCACAAGTAACACTGCCACTTCCAGACCAAACGTCCTCAACACCATTGGAGGATGACTCAGATGACCGTTCCTTAATCAATTTTACAACCTCACATAAAACATCTTTACTTTCACCATTTTCTTCCGATTTCTCAACTGGAATGAATATGCTACAAGAGAAGCACCACCTCAATTGAGGATTATCCCATTGAACCACCAAGTGGTGACGGGTTTGTCTAAGATGTCGAACAGCATGCGAAGTAGAAGCATTAGGCAAACCAAGCCCGGCACACACATAATGTCCACATTCCAAACAAACCCAGATGGCTTTGGACTCGGATTTCGATTCAACCGGAGCACTTCCCTTCTTTTTCCCATGTTTACCCTTTCCCTTACCTCCTCTCCTATCATTTCTACCTTCCCTACAATCCTCACACCGAATAGGGTCTACAGACCTAAGTTTAGTCAACAATTTATCTAGGTCAACACCATTTTCAAAATGTGAGCACTTTTTACTCTCTTTTACCACTATAATTTTGTCATCAGCACCGCCGGTACTAGCAGCTTTCTGCTCCTGAGGTATAACTTTTGGAGATTGGGGTGCCACAACCTTTTTCTCCTTTGGAGGTATTCGTCGATTCTTTTTAACTCTTTTCCCCATTACTGGTTCCTACAAAACTATCAACACATTAAATCCTCAATCACAGACACAATCCAACAAGGAAAGAAAATGAATTAAAAAAAATCCAAACATCTTCTTAACTCTTTTCCCCGTCATGAGTTCCTAAAAAGCCATATCCTAATGACTATATACACCTTAAATCCCCCATTACTTAAACAATCAAATAAGCAGTGAAAAGAAAGAAAAACAATCTACACTATATTGTTCATGTAAATATCTGGTGAGGATTAAAATTTATGAAGAACGTCCATAAAAGAAACTATCAAGTGAGCATAAGCAGAGATTCAAACCAAAATAAAAGGACGAAAGCAAATTTAGAAGATAACCCAGATGCTGATTTGGATTGGTGAATGCGAGAATAAGCTTAAATACCAGTGTAATAAACAAAGCAAGCGAATCAAAGAAACCCGAACAAAAACAGTGGTTAAAGTTGTAAAAATCAAGGATTCAAAAATAATTAAAGGGGAAAATACCTTTAAATATGGCCGAAGAGGAACAATAAAAGGTTAGATTACATGGAAAGAGATTAGGGTTATTTTGGTTTGGAGATTTAGGATCTAAGCTAAGCAATGGAAATAAGCGAGAAGCAAGGGTTTTTTACAAGTTGGGCTCCAAGTTTACTCCGTTTCTAGCATCTCTCTTTTTATCTCTCAAAGGCATTTGATGAAATAAAGAGACGGTGAAGGCGAAATGACATAAAAATAAAGGTACAGTAACGTTTAGTACCCTATTTATCACATTTGTTCTTTTTGAGTCACTCAATTATTATTTTTTTTAAAATAATATCTAATGTTACATTTTAATTTCATGAGTCTCTCATCGTTATAAAAATAACAAAAATATTGATGCAGCATTTTTTATTTTCTAGATGATGATGTGATAAAAAATAATTAAATGACTAAAAAGGAATAAAAGTAATAGTTGTAATCCTAACAAATAGTTTACCCTAAAAATAAATAAGAAATATCAACCTTTTAGACTACTTGCATATTCTAACATTTAAAACTTCCAATAAGATCATTAAACATTTAATTCGTTTTCTATAAATAATTATCATCTGTTGATGTTAAAAAATGTTAATATGACAAGTTAAACTTTTCTTCAAAAAAATCTCTAAATTTTTTAAAACTTAACGGTTATTGGTCTCCTTTTATTTGTGTTATCACCATCTCATGTTCTTTCAGTCATTGTCGTCACTAAACACGCCATCCTCCATACTCAAGTGCTTCATCATATTCTCACAATCATTGAAACATTCATCAGCATCACTTTATTCAAGTTCTGAACACCAAAATCACTATCTATGAATAAGTCAACCCTAAACCACAATCGTCAATCTCATTCAATCACTGTCCATAATCACAACTACCAATAGCAATATATAATAAACAACGATAAAAATAAAAATAGATTAAATAAAAATGAAGAGAAAATGAATTTTTTTTATCTAACATTCGTCAAGTTTTTGATGAACGAAGGAGTTGTCAGTTAATCCTAACAACTGGAAGGCTCTATTTAATCAAAAGATTAACATAGTTGAGTTTCAAGTTGAACTTTCAGTTGACAATGACATATTGAAAAGTTTTAACTTTTAATTTATGTTGAACCATGTTTTATAATATCTTGATATAACAAATTAAGGCAAAATGTTTTTGGACTTGAATTGAATTTGTTCAAAAAATTTTAAAAGTTTTCAAAAATAATTCAAAGTCCATTAAACTAGAATTTGAGCACAAAAGAGATTTTCAAAGTACAAAGTATTGATACTATATGAATAGTACCGATAATGTTCATGTGGTATCGATACCAACGGTAAGAGAAGTATCGATACTCTCTAGGTACTATCGATACTACCAGCTTGTTCAAATTCTAGAATGCAAAATAGGTATCGATACTCAAAGGGGTACCGATACTACTTTACATAGTAGTATCGATATCATGGTCACAATATCGATACCGTCAGGCCCAACGGCTAGTAACGACTATTTTTATTTAAAATTAATAAAGGAAGTACTGATACCCATTAAAGGAGTGTCGATACTCCCTGTCTTGGACAATTTATTTTTGTATAGATAACATCCCCAAACGGCTAGAAATTATCCCCAACGGCTAGAAACGGCCACAACCTCATTTCAACTTATAAATACAAGTTCAAGACACTTGAAGAAGGGTTAGAACACCTATCCAAGCAATCAAATACAAGAGAAGAGTTTTTCACTCTTTATTTTTCTTTCTCTTGTAAATAGTTGTGTTTTATGAGCTTAATCTTGTAAAAACCTACCTTGTAGATGTTTTATTGTTTACTTCTTTAATCCTTTTGAAAGGGGTTTTGGTTTTATCTTAGCCATTGAAAAGATAAGGAGCTTGTAAAGGTTATCTCTTTGTCATTGACAAAGAAAGAACAAATTAGTGGACGTGTTGGAATATCCTTAGTGATGAGCTAAGGTAGTGGATGTAGACTTTGGTTGAGAAATTTGAACCACTATAAATCCTTGTGCATTATTTTTTCTATCCCTTTAAATCTCCTTACTCCAAAAAATTCTCAAAAAGCCAATTCACCCCCTATTGGCAATATTTTCGGTTGTCAAATTGAGCTTCAACAATCCCAATAATTGATATCATAGCTTGACTCATTAGAAGGTTTAACCACCTTGAGACGATCCTAAAAGAAGCTCTATCAATTCCCGATGCAACTGAGAAGATGGCTTCGACATCCGGCTTTTACTACATTGAAGATTCTTAACCGGTCAACAAGCCACCTTATTTCAATGGAGCAAATTATGCCTATTGGAAGAATATGATGATATTCTTCATTCAAGTCAACAATCTAGGAGCTTGGAACTCAATCATGAAAGGATACTTCATTCCAACCGATGAGATGGATGATTGGAGTGATGGAGAAAAGAAGAAGTTTCAACTCAATGCTAAGGCTATGCACATTTTATTTTGTGCATTAGGTCCGGATGAATATGAAAGATTATCCTCTTGTTCCAATACCAAGGAGATATGGGAGAAGCTCCAAGTCACTCATGAAGAAACTGATGAAGTAAGGGAAACCAAAATCAATCTTCTCAACCATAGTTATGAGAATTTCAAGATGAAACCGAATGAAGACATCAAAGCTATGACGGACAGATTTTCCTTTATTGTCAATGGGCTCAAGGGATTTGGAGAAGTGATCTCTAATGAGAAACTTGTGAGGAAGATTATCTACTCTCTTCCAAAGTCTTGGAAATCGAAGAAGATGACGATCATCGAAGCTAAGAACCTAAATACTCTCACTCTTGATGAGGTTATTGGTTCTCTTCTCACTCATGAGTTGATGGTGAAGGAAGAAGAAGAAGAAAAGAAAAACAAGAAGAAAGAGGTATGCATTGCCTTCAAAACCACCAATGAGAGAAATCAATACTCAAATGAAGAAGTGGATGAAAATGATGATGAAGAAAAACAGATGGCCAAGCTCTTCAAAAGATTCAAGAGATTTATGACTTCTAAGGAAGTGAAGCATGAATCAAGAAAAAATAAGAGTCCCCCCGGTGTGCTTTAATTGTTAAAGAGCGGGACATGTCAAGTATGATTGCCCCCTCTTAAAGAAGAAGTGATCAAGTAAGAAGAAGGCATTTGTGGCAGCTTGGAGTGATGAAGATGACTCCAATGATGAAGATGAAGTAGCCAACCTATGTCTCATGGCCATCGAAGAAGATTCAAAGGTATCTTCTAACTCGGATAAATTAAATTCATATTTTGATAGTTACAAGATGTTTATAATGAGTTATTTTTGGAATTTGAGACCATTAATTACAAATATAAGAAATTGATTTCAAAATTTACAGTTGAAAATGATTTGATTTTGAACGTAAAAGTTTATTTTGAAAAACAAAATGAAATTTTGAAAAATGATTTAGAGCTTTCAAAAATCAAGATCAATTATTTAGAAAAAGAAAATTTTGATTTGAAAGTTAAGCTTGAGAGCTTAACAAAAAAAATAATTTCTAAAATAACTCTTTGTGTTTAAAAATGGCAAAATGCTCACATTTTCATTTTCATAGTCATTTGGAACATACTTGTCCCATAAAGAAAAGAAAATCTTTTAAAATTAGACAAGTATGGGTTCCTAAGAGAGCAAGGGGTATTGAAACTAATGTTCAAGGATCCAAAGCAATTTGGATACCAAAATCAAATAAATGTCTCTTGTAGGTGTGTGGGATCAAAGTTAATGAAAGTGAAGACATTCAAATGTTCTAGCCACACTTGAAAAGGAATGGGTAACCTCTAAGCTTATTTTAATTATCTTGCATAATTGGTTGTTCATTTGGTTTAAGCATGCATGAGTTTTGATTTTAACTAATTTTATGCTTTTTATCTAATGTATGTTAAAAATATGTTATGATGAACATTTTCTAAAGTTTTAAACGATTTTTCATAATTTGTAGTTCATCATAATGAATTTTGGTCAAAATTGATTTTGAATGCAAATAATATCTCTCTAACAATTGATATCAATTTTTCAAATGCTTTGATTTTACAAATTTTAATTTTTGACCAAAATTTAAATGGTTATGCATGTGGTTTATGGCAAATGATCTCTCTCTCACAATTGATATCAAGTTTTCAAATTCATAACATTTTTTTTGCTTTATACACATGCCCTTAAATTCAATATTTGATATTGCATAAAGTATTTTAGACTTGGATGTATTAATTTCATATGCTACTAACATGTTTGTTCATCTTGGTTGAAATTCAATTTTTTTAGGTGTCATGCTCTTTAAAGTCAAATTTTTGTTTGGAATGCTTGAGGGGGAGCTTTTGATTTTTCAAATGATTTTATGCTAAAGATTACAACTTACCTCCGTTGTTATTTTTGAACTTTAAAGTTGAATTATTTTTTATATAACAAAAAGGGGATAAATGTAGGTTTGAAAAATTCAATTTCAATAATGAAAAATGGAGAGCTTTAACATTTTTCAAAATATGTCTCTTTTTCATTAAATGTTTTATTAAGTGGGAGTTTTGCCAAAAACAATTTTTCAAATGTTTTGTTATATCAAAAAAAGGAGATTGTTGAACCATGTTTTATAATACATTGATATAACAAATTAAGGCAAAATATTTTTGGACTTGAATTGAATTTGTTCAAAATTTTCAAAAAATAATTCAAAGTCCATTAAACTAAAATTTGAGCATAAAACAGATTTTCAAAGTATAAAGTACCGATATTGTGCTTACAATATCGATACTATATGAACAATATCGATATTGTTCATGTGCTACCGATAACAACGGTAAGAGAAGTATCAATACTCTCTAGGTAGTATCGATACTATCAGCTTGCTCAAATTTCAGAATGAAAAATAGGTATTGATACCCAAAGGGGTACCGATACTACTTTACATAGTAGTATTGATACTATGGTCACAGTATCGATATCGTCAGGCCCAACGACTAGTAACAACTAGTTTTATTTAAAATTAATAAAGGAAGTACTGATACCCATTAAAGGAGTAATGATACTCCATGTCTTAGGCAGTTTAGTTTTGCATAAATAACATCCCCAAACTGCTAGAAATCATCCCCAACGACTAGAAACGCCCACAATCTCATTCTAACTTATACATACAAGTTCAAGACACTAGAAAAAGGGTTAGAACAACTATCCAAGCAATCAAACAC